TCAATCCGTCCCTGGCTACACGAGTTGCGGATTTGAGCCCCTTCCTTTGGATCCTAACTCGATTGTTGAACAAAGAAGTGGTCGTTTTCCCCCCTTTTTCTGGCTTGATTTCATTCAACTCTCGATCTCATGATTGATGGTTGTTTTGTCCTAAACTCATACCTCTTACTTTATCCAGGCTGTTGATTTTCTTCACTACTAGTTAACATGCACTTGCAAGTTGCAACGTAAGTATTTTTAGGAAGAAAATACATGGTCATCTTAGTTAATGGGTAAACATTTCAATAAAAATAAGCACAAACAACTACTAATAAATATTACAAAATCAATAGCTGGTAATAATGTACTAACAATGAAACAACGATTTTGATTTAGCGCATGAACATTTAATTTATTTGTTGTTTGAAGGGAGGATATTTCCTTTGCCAAGGGGAGTTACTAACATATGCAAACTTTAGAAAAATTTCAAAAACTGGATAAGCTGGTATGGAATAAGCCGCTCCACACTGTGGTCAATTGAACGGGGATTCAGACTGCAGTTCTGAGAAATATTGTCCTCTTATTAGTCTCCAAAAATATGCAGATTTATCTCCTATATAATCCGTGACGGTTTTCTAGAACAAAATTTATGCTGTTTTTTTAGAATAATAACAAATTTATGCAGTTGTGATCTATTCGAATCTTGGGCCCTGGCGGAGCTACGTGACAGCTGACCTCGGCCAGGGCCCGCCCAGAGCTGGAGCAAAAACCAAATCCACCTAGGCCCAGCCCACACCATCTGACCAGCACAGGCCAGCAGGAAAAGATTTCTCCAAAAAAAAACACCCAGGAAAAGAAGAAGCACCTAGCAGCCGCCGCCCGCCGCCGCCCCCGCCGGATCGTCACACACAGCAGCCGCCGGACCCCGCAGCGCCGCCGCCGGCCAGCGGCACAAATCGGCCGCCGCCCACGGCCGACCATCCCACCGGCACACAGCAGCGCGACGACGGCGAGTCAGCCGTCCCACGGCCCCACGGCAGGCGGCCACGCAGCCACAAGCTGGTGGCAGCGGCAAGCCGGCGACGCAGCTCCTTCTCTGAATCTGATCCTCTCCAACTTTTCTTGAATCCCTGTAAGCTGTACAGGTAAGTTTCTTTGATTCCCTCCCAATTTCTTTCAGTTAGGTCATTGTCTATTGGTATGGGTACTGTGGTAGCATGAATAAACCACTGAAGATCTTGTTTTTCACTCCCTCCGTCCCGAATTACTTTTCTTAGATTTGGGACGGAGGTAATACAAATCTAAGACAAGTAATTTGGGACGGAGGTAATACATTTTATGCAAAGCCATTGTTGTTGTTTACAGTTTATGCAAAGGCATTGTTAAAATGTCCATTTGACAGATAAATAATTCACTCAATTCGTGTGTGGTCTTATATGTGCAAGCTTTTGTAATGGACAACTAAACTAGTCTAATGGGGAAACTGTATTTTGGTATAGTTTCTTTTGTTTATATCTACTAACTTGATCTTGTAACAAAGGGGAACAGAGGGCACTTATTAGTAACAACGATTCAGAATTTGAAAATTTCCGAGTTCCTTTTTAGCTTGGCCTGCCCAACAATTTGTTTCTGCCCATCTTATTTTGGTGGGTTATGCATCGGATGCATCGACTCCTGTCTTAATTAAGCAAAGCAAATTGCAAAGAACCTTAGGTTCAGTTTACGGTTGCTGAACTTATGTTATAATCTTCTGTAGAAAGATAAAATGGAGAATCTTTTTTGTTAGCCAGTCGGTAAAATATGCAAAATCTGGTTGGGCCAAATGGGAGGTACCATAATCAACTCTAGTGCAAAAGACAGTTTGTACTTTGGCAGTTCATTTGCTAAATGCCATGATTCCAACAAATGTTGGTGGGCTGCTACACTGAGAAGTTATTTTACATAGTTATGTTTCCTCAAAAACAGAAAATACCAGGGCAAAGAGAATAATCCCTTAACTGAGGAGCAGCGTCTAGGTTACGACAAGACATAATTCGTGTCTTGCCCAAATTTGCTTCATAAATTATTATAGTTCGTGTGGAAATTTATTGATGCATTGATTGTAATGTGTAAGTTCTATTGAAAATCTGAAGTGCAACTTGCTGGATTCATTTAGTTTAAGCTAATGATAATTCTTTTAGGCTGTTGTGGTATGGCTCAGAGTTTAACCGAGAACAAGACCAGAACCGCTCTATTTGTACTTGTGGTATTTGGGCTCTGTTCCTTCTTCTACCTCCTTGGTGTATGGCAAAGAAGTGGCTTTGGGAGAGGGGACAGCATAGCGGCTGTGGTGAATGAGCAGACCAAATGTCTGAAACTGCCAAATCTGAATTTCGAGACCCACCATAGTGCATCGGATCTTCTGAACGACACTTTCAGTTCTCAAGTCAAAACTTTTGAGCCATGTGATGCAGAGTACACCGATTACACTCCTTGCGAGGAGCAAAAGCGTGCAATGACCTTCCCTAGGGATCACATGATATATCGGGAGAGGCATTGCCCACCTGAAAACGAGAAGCTGTACTGTCTGATTCCAGCACCAAAGGGTTATGTTGCTCCTTTTCCATGGCCAAAGAGCCGCGATTATGTTTCTTATGCCAATGTGCCACACAAGAGTCTTACGGTTGAAAAGGCCATCCAAAACTGGGTGCACTACGAGGGCAACGTTTTCAGGTTTCCTGGTGGTGGAACGCAGTTTCCTCAGGGTGCAGACAAGTATATAGAACAGCTTGCTTCTGTTATCCCAATTACCAAGGGGAAAGTGAGAACTGCACTCGACACTGGTTGTGGGGTATGTGAACGTCTTAGCGTTGAATACGCAAACATATGCTCAATGATAACCACATTGTTGTGCTATACACTTTAATTTTTCTTTGCTTTTTTCATAATTTTGTTTAGGTTGCCAGTTTGGGTGCTTACCTGTTGAAGAAAAATGTTTTGACTATGTCATTCGCTCCAAAAGATAATCATGAGGCACAAGTACAGTTTGCACTGGAGAGAGGCGTACCTGCATATATCGGTGTCCTTGGATCAATGAAGCTCTCATTTCCATCCCGAGTCTTTGACATGGCACATTGCTCGAGATGTTTAATTCCATGGAGCGGAAGTAGTAAGAACGCTTTTAGAACATTTCATGGTTGACTCATATGGTCTCCATAGAAATTCTGAACCTTTCGCTCTTGTTCTACAGACGGTATGTACATGATGGAAGTTGATAGGGTACTTAGGCCGGGTGGGTATTGGGTACTATCAGGCCCACCCATTGGTTGGAAGATTCACTACAAGGGATGGCAACGGACCAAAGACGATCTCCAGAGTGAGCAGAGAAAAATAGAACAATTCGCAGAACTTCTTTGCTGGAAGAAGATATCTGAGAAGGATGGTATTGCTATATGGAGAAAGACATTAAATGGCAAATCTTGCCCGAGGAAACAAGATAATTCAAAAGTTGCCAAGTGTGAGTTGACAAGCGAAAGTGATGTATCGTGAGTGTCATTCCATCTGCCACCCTCACAAAAAAGGAGTGAATCTTATCTGTACTGTTCTACCTTTGTATTCAATTTGATTTGTTTCATTACATATCTACCTACAGGTATAAGAAAATGGAAGCCTGTATAACTCCGCTTCCTGAGGTTAAAAGCGTGTCAGAGGTTGCTGGTGGTGAACTAGAGCCATTTCCCCAGAGGCTCAATGCAGTACCACCTCGGATAGCCCGTGGTTTTGTACCTGGGTTCTCAGTTCAAACATATCAGGAGGACAATAAACTCTGGCAGAAACATGTTAATGCTTACAAGAAAACCAATGACTTGCTTGATACTGGAAGGTACCGCAACATAATGGACATGAATGCAGGTCTTGGTAGCTTTGCCGCTGTACTGGAGTCTCCAAAGCTGTGGGTCATGAATGTCGTTCCGTTCATTGCAGATACTTCTACTTTAGGTGTAATCTATGAGCGAGGGTTAATAGGAATGTATCACGACTGGTATGTAAACTGCCGTATTGCTCTCCTGGTTTCATACTTTGGTTATCGCATTTTGTTTCTCACTTATGTTCGTTGTACATTGTTTCTACATTTTGGTAGCTTTGTTTTTTGCAACAGACCTTTTTACTTTTGCTGGTTCACAATGTGGGGAACTTCTCTTTTCTGTTATGAAGTGCATTTACTTCATGAACACTATAAAAAGGGTACTCATGTATTGTTGTGTGTGAAGATGGAAGGATGTCAATATAATCTCCCGTGTGCCAATATCAGTTAAACTCTATATAATGGCATCTCTTGTTACCAAACTCACCTGGGAAACTCTTCAATTTGTGCTTTTGTTAAATGATGATGCACATGTGCCATGTATTTGTTATTGTGCTTTTAGAAATACGAGTTTGCAGATATGCAACAGTTGTACTTCTTGTGTTAGTTTTTGATATAGTTCCTGAGAAGCTTCCTTTTTATTTGTGTGAATCATAGTTTATTTCTTCTTGTTACAGGTGTGAAGGGTTTTCTACTTACCCAAGGACATATGACCTCATACATGCTAACGGTGTCTTCAGTTTGTACCAAAACAAGTAAGCATTGAAAGACCAAGATGTGCTTCTAAATCTGTAGACCTTGTTGGCTGATATTGTCTGATTATTTAAAAACAGGTGTAAATTTGAAGATATACTACTGGAAATGGACCGGATCTTACGCCCAGAGGGCGCAGTTATAATCCGTGACACGGTTGACGCTCTTGTAAAGGTGGAGAAAATAGCCAATGCCATGAGGTGGGAGACAAGACTGGCCGACCATGAGGGCGGCCCTCGTGTGCCCGAGAAGATCCTCTTTGCAGTTAAGCAATACTGGACTGCCGACAGCAAGAGCCGCCGCTAACATGTCTGGATTATTTTTCTCGTTTCACTTCAGGATAACTTTATCCCCGGCAGCGTTAGTTGCAAGTACACATTCGACTGCACGTAGAGAACTGAAGAACCAAACCAGTGATAATCTAGAGAGTAATCTGTTTTCTAGTCATGGTTGGTGTTGTATTTTTCTTTATTTTTGTTTGTGTTGTATTCTTGTTTATTTTTGTTCCTGTTGTATCTTAGAAATCCATGAACTGGAGAGATATTGCTGTTTCCTGCAGTACTGAAGCTGAATAACATACTACTCCCTCCTTCCATCTATATAGGGCCTAATGCGTTTTTCAAGACCGCCTTTGACTGTTGATAAAATTAATACTACATGACATGCATAATGTGAAAATTATATCATTGAAAGCTCCTTTCACATACGAATTTGATGATGTGCTTTGTGTAAGTTGCATGTCATATATTATTGCTCTAATATTTGGTCAAAGTTAACCTCGAAAAACACATTAGGCCCTATATAGATGGAAGGAGGGAGTAGGGACAGTTTCGTTCATACTCTTTTGGAGAAGAAATGTGCCATACGAGCTGCCATTGCCCTCCACCTGTCCGGCCGGCCGGCCAGCGGCCAGGTAGTAATAGAGTATAGTAGACATCGCCCGTGGAGCTGCCGGCCCCGAACAAGGTGAGCGGAGGCTCCGAGGCGACGACACCCCAAGTCAATTTTTTTGATACGCCCCAGGCAGGCACAATATAAGTGAGGCGACGCCCAAGGTTAACATCCTCTGCAAGGTGACTTGTAGCTTTGTGCTGTGATGGCCGACCAACGTAGAGGCCATCGTCTGCAGCCACAAGGAGTGGGTGATGTTGAAGATGGCCGTGGGACTGCGGAGCTCCGGCAAGACATAGGTACTGCTCCGGCTCTGCAGCACTCTTTTATTTATTCCACTAAAAAAAGCACTCACAATTTTTGCATGCACTTACAAATTTCCTCCAGTATATATATTTTGAGCACAAATCCAGCACGCTGAACGTATGCCGCTTTTGAGGAACTTTAGGCCAATTAGTGTAACTACTTGGTATTCTTTGTCCTTATGTATGAACTAATAAAGCCAATTATTCAAGCTAATTATCGTTCTCTCAATTAGGATGCTGTGGTGTGGCACGGAGCTCAGCGGTCGAAAACAAGACTAGAACCGTCGTACTTGCGGTTATGGTAATCGGCCTATGTTCCTTCTTCTACCTCCTTGGCGCGTGGCAAGCAAAACGGGTTGGAGGAGGGGACTGCATAGCAAGAAGGCTGATTGAGGAGACGAAATGTGTGGTTCTGGAGGGTCTTCATGTGGAGACTCATCTTGTCCTCGGTGACAAGCCCTCGTGGAGATGATTGTATCGTCTTCTATGTTTACCCAATCAATATTGGTAGATTTATAATGAAATATGCTCCTATGGTGTGTTATTTGGTGTTATAAGTATGTTTTCGTATTTGACAGTGTCACGGAGCGTAACCATAAATGCTGCCCAAATATCTGAATATGGAATAACTAACTAATCGACGTGTTGAGTCACTAGAGTTCACATCGTGTCGCTCTCGGGAAACCCTAGCCCCCCCTCCTGGGGGGACACACGCAGCCAAGGAAAGTAGATAGGCTAATCATGCCATAGATTGCAGCGAAGGGGCTTGTCCCTTGTATGCTAGCGGTTCTTGAAGATTCAACACAATGTGGTGGTCCCTAGCAGCATTGTGGTCCAAGCAACATGGTGTCACATAGCTAATACTTCCTCTCCTAGTGGCGTGGCATTATGGCACTACTCCGAGTGAAGGGCCACTCGAGGTTCCAACTCCAAGCGGCGTGGCTCTGCTTTCGACTGGTGTCCTCAGCCAATCCCGAACATCTCCCATTGCATGGTTTGGGATGCCCGTTCTGGCAGGTACGAGCCCCTAGGTTGATGGGCTTGGTTGGGCTTCCTTTGGTGAGTCGATCAATGGTGATGGTGGTTGAATGGTCCAAAAGATCATGGGTCTGGGATAGATGAGGCTAGTGAAAAAAGCTAGGCTTCGACTTCCATTGGAGTCAGGAATGGTGGCGTCGTGGAGGTGATAACTTGTTGGAGGTGTCGTGTTGTAGTTCTCACAATCCTGGTCAAGATACTCTAGGGAAAGTGAGATTTGGTTCTGGATCGGAAGAATGCGACGCTTGGCGATGTGCTCTCCGTGTGGAGCGTTGTTTTGGAGAGGGATATGGCTGGAGGGACCAGTGCCAGAGGTGGGTTTTCATTGGGAGCTTGCGTATTAGAGTTCGCAGCAAGGTTTCTGGTAGTCGGCTTTTGGGTGTGTCCTCAAGGTCGTCGTAGTGTGCCTGCTCTTGTGAAGTCAAAGCTACTGTGATGTCTTACTAGAGCACATGTTACATGTAGTCAACTTATGACGGTCGTCTTTCGATGCAAAACTTGCATACTCTCCATCACTCGCCTCCAACAACGGATTTGTCTTGTCTTTAGCTTGTGTGGCCAACTGTTTAGTCCATAAAACAATCTGGACTAGCAGGGCTGCTCGTGTGTGACTCCTCTACGATGGAAATGTTCACTTTTTGTTAAACTGACCTGTATTACAATAAATGGACCGACACCGCTCCATCACAAGCCTCAACCCGCGATGGAGATAAAGAGCTACCTGGTGCTCATGTTCTAAAACGCCGCTCTTGTCTTCTAAGGACTAGTTTGGTTGCAAGGGGAAAGTATCCCAGGGCTCTAATCCTCCACATGGAGATTTTCATGGCCATCGAGGATCCTCTCCTCCCACCACGGGGAGATCACCATGTCTGTTTCCATGATAGGGGAGAGTGGAGGAGATCGTGTCCAGGAAAGCGGTAAGGAGGTCACTAGGTGCGCGTTACGTCATCACGCCTCTCGCGCGTCCGCCGTGGCTTTGCTCCCAGACCTCTCTAGGCGTGG